CAATGCATCTCTTCCCTGCAAGCAGCCAAGCCCATTCCCTTTGTTTAACTGTGGGGATCACATGAAGAGCAAGTGCTGCTCTCCCACGTGCCTTGGAGCATTCCTGGCAGGCTTTGAGAGGGGACCTGGACTCTGACACTTTGCACCAAGGCTTTTCAGGGCGTTGGGGCACCTGTGCTCTCTGGCCAGGCACTTCCTGCTCCCCTCTCCCTCCCTCCTGCTGCCTGCTCCATTGTTTGCCTGTAACAATTGAAACTCAGGGTTTCCATAGAGTCAGGAGCACTCACAATAGCTGCTGCTTTGCAGCTTGGAGCAAATCCATTATTCACCTGAGCAGTGTTTACAGCAGAGTTTGCTGGGGTCTGATCAGCCCAGCAGTGGAAGAGCTGTTGGATGTTAGAACCTGGATGAGAGCACAGGTTGTGCTGTGGCAGACCCAGCTGCCTGCCTCCTCAGACAGATGTTTTACAGGTAGCTCCTGCCCTTTCTGAACCCCTGGCCTCCTCTTCCTCGGCCTGGTGTAGCAAATGCCTGAAAACAGCAGTTGTGACAGGCTCATCCAGCCCAGAGCTGGACCACGGTGTGAGTTAAGTCTTGACCAGCACCTGACTGGTTTTGTGTGTCTGACCATGCAGGGTCACAGTGCCAACACAAGAGCCCTCCCTGCAGAAACCTTCCCTCCTGCTGTCAAATCTCAAATGTCTGTGGAAACCTGAGATCTTGTACTTGCTGTTTTTAACCAAGAGCCTCTGGAGGCTGGCAGGCGCCGGGCACTGTTTTTATACACAAGCAAAGCTCTGCTGACTTGTGTTTCATGCAGTGTTGAGTCTGCTGGATACACACACTGACATTCACCAGAAGGAGCTGGATTCCATCTTTCTGGCTCTGTTTCTGACACTGCAGCAGTCTGATATGAATTTCTTTCTTGAGGAGAGTGCGTGGAATTCATGCTGAGCTGTAAAACATGTTTTATTGCAGCTGTTCCCAGGGTGAGTCAATTCACCTGGAGCAGTCACAGGGAAAGCCAGGAGAGGGGAGGGGGAGCTTTGCCTGCAGCTTTACTGAGCACCTGAGCTTTAGTGTGCAGGAGCTGAAATCCTCCTTGAGCTGATGCTTTTGTGCCAACTAGAACCCAAAGAAAAGGTGTAAGATTGTCCAAGGGTCTGGGATAGGGCCACATCCTGTTCTCCAGAGGCTCTGGGAATGCTTCTGCATGGCCCCCACCAAAAGAGGCCTTTCTGGGCTTTGCTGTCAGCCTTTTACCCCAGGAAAGCTGTGCCAGACCAGGGCTGGGGGGCAGATGCAGCCAGAGATGGGATGTAAAATATCCTGGTCCCTCCACTAGCAGCACCAGTAGCTGACTGCATTGTTTCTACCCCAAGGATGCCCTGGCTGCATCTGGAGGAAGGAAGGGGGGTAGAGGGCTGCTGGGGGCTGATATGTGCAGTGAGGAGGACCTGGAGGTGGTGATTCCCTGGGTGAACAGGTAATTTCTGCTGCTGCCAGGTGGGAATCCAGACCCTCATTTCCCTGAGTTAAAAGGAAACCTGAGCCAGCCGATCCCTGTTCCCTAAATCCAGCCTCCCACTAAGCCTGGCTGTAAGCATTCCCTCACTGTCTGCCTCTCCCTGCTCAGGGGATGAGTGTGGGGAGCCAGAGCTGCCCTGGGAGCAGCAGCAGGTTTGTCCTGAGCCACCCCTTCCTCAGGGTGGCAGCGGGGCAGCCTCCAGGCTGAGCTGTGTCCAACCCCTGCAGCGCCAGGGGAGGGCTCCGTGAGCTCCCTGCCTTTTTATGGTCAGGAATGTGTTTGCAACACGTTAATTAAGAGCGACCATGGTGGCCAGCACCGCCTGACCCCCTCAGAGCTGAGCCCTTCCTGCCCCTCTGAGAGCTCAGAGTGGAGCCTGGAGTCATGCTGAGACCATGGCAAGGGGCCACAGATGGGGCTGGACCCCCTCTGCCTCCCCTTTTGCTTCCCCCAAGGCTCCTGTGGGGTCTGACACCCTTCCCTCACTCCCGTTCTGCCCTGACACAGGGAATGTGTCTCTATATCCAAGGTTTTGGGGCCGGAGCCCCATTTCTCCCTTATTTTTTAGCTGCCCAGCGCCCACACTGGGGGCTGTGCCAGGGTCTGGGGGTGCTCTCTGCTGCCTCCTCAGACTGGGGAGCAAATTTGGCAGAGTAAATATTTGAAAACAAACCCACAAACCAAAATAACTTCTCTAACCCTAGTGATAAATCTGTGTGGAAAGCTCACAGTAACTGAGCTTTCAGCCAAGTGTCCCTCACCTCCCTGCCCACTCCTGGGCTTGATGGGAGCTCAGTTCATCCTATTCATTTTTCACTTCCAGTTAAATATCCTTTTATTAAATTTTAACTGGAACATAAGGACTTGCAGTGCTCTTAATTTAAGATAAAATCTCCCAGGGGAATGGACCAGGAGCCCATTTCTCTCAGCTGGGAGCATGGTGAGTGTCAGCAGACCCTGATGCTCTTGTCTTTTCCATCTGGGCCTGATATGCTCTGTTATTTGAGGGGGGAAGTAGCTTCTAAATATGGTTTTGTGTTGGCAGCACAACCTTGTGTTTGCCCTTGGAGGGCTCATCAGGGCACAGGCTGGGTGTGAGGGTGATGGTTTCCTCCTCAGAGCAGGGACAATGTCAGATAAGCTGGAGGGGGCTTTTTTCTCTAATTCTGAATTTGCTGTGAACAGTGTAATGATCTGGCCCAGGCTTCACTCTTACACCTGCAGCCAAGTGAGGGTCAGTGGATGGGGGAGGATCCATAAAATGGGGAAGGGGGTGTTGGATGTGTCACCACACAGAGCCCTGACCTTGCTGACCATCACCAAGCCCCTCTTTGCCCCTGGAGAGGGTGAGAGCAGCCATGTGAGCCATGTCAGAGGGGATTGGGGGTGCTGGAGGCAGCAGGGAGGTGCAGCTCCCCAGGCTGGGAGCTGTGCAGAGCCTGCCCCCAGCCTGCTGTCACCCTTTGGGACCTCATTGCTGAGCAGTGACCAGAAATAAGCAGGGACCAGTGGTGCCCAGAGGGGCCACAGTGATGCTTTGGGCTGGGAGCTGAGGAAGGGGTGTCCTGGGATGTGTCTGGGCAGCGGCTGGGGCAGCTCTAGAGCAGTAGCAGGGCAGGGCAGGGTCAGCCATGGGCTTGGGAGGCTGCTGGAAAGGCTGGGGTGGGATGGATGGGGAGCAGAATCAGTGTCTCTGACAGGGGGTATGGGGATACTGCACCCCCTGCCATGCCAGCACAGGGACCTGTGCCCTTGGGCAGTGCAGAGGGGGTGGGCCAACATCTCCATCCCCAAGGTGAGCTGATAACTGCCCAGGAGAGTGCACAGAACCCCTCAGTGTGTGTGGGATCTGTTGGAGGCAGATCCTGTTGCTCTCAGAGAAGAGGTGGATGAGGGGCCAAGGAAAGTGAGGCTTTTAGCTGTGTTTGTGCAGCTGCTTCAATGTTTTCCCTGGCTGTGAAGGGTTGAGCAGGGAGATAAATGCAGATGTAATTAATGGAGCTGCTTATATGCTGCTGTCTGTGACTTATGCTGGGAACAGGCCTAGACTAAATATCACCATTACTGATAGGAGGAGGTGGCCAATTTATGGCCCTCTCTGTGGGGAGAGGAAGATCTGGTTATAATAACACTCAGCAGGGGAAAAGAAATGTTTTACAGTCAAAAGCTTCTCAAGAAAAGAAGGCCAAGCACTGGGGCTGGGTGGAAGAAGGGCTGTGTCAGCAGCAGACCCCCAGGGAGAGCCAGGGTCCTGGACAGAAATACCCATCCCAGCCCTGGGGAGCTCTGCTGTGGGGATTCACAACAGTGGAATCTGTGCAGACAGACTGAGAGCCTCTGTATTGGAAGTTTATAGAGACCTGACCTTCATGGGGGCTGTTGGGGTACACCCCTGGGAATTGTAGGGATGCAGAGCTCATCCCAGCTCCCAACCCTGGCTGTGCTCTGCCACGGGGTTTTCAAAAGTGTGACTTGATCCTAGTCCTGTGATGCTCTTCTGGTAAACAAAAGGAAGGATCACTTGCAGCTGGTGGCAGTCACAGGGCTCAGGCACCCTGGAGCCTTTGCAGGGTTCAGAGGTGGGAGTGTGAATCACAGCAGCCTCTTGTGGGCAGCGTCACTCAGCGGTGCAGTGACATTCATGACATTCCTGTGCCGCAGCGCCCCCCTCCAGGGATGTGCTCGGGCATCACCCACATCCTCCATCCCCCCTCAGCGTCCCTGCCTCCAGCAGGTCCCACCACCCCCCAGCCTCTCCTCCACTGCAGCTGTGGGGCTTCCCAAAGGAGCTGGACACGGCAGGTGGGGTGGAGGGGCTTTATTTATTCCCAGGTTTGCTGGGCACCCCCAGCTCTCACACAGCCCTGGCTGTCCCACCTCAGTGTCAGTGCCCTGCTTGTCTCCTGCTTGAGATGCTGAGCTGTCCCCAGGCTGTGCAAAGGCATTAAAATCCTTCCCCTACCATGGGTCTATGGCTGTGCTTCCCTGGCAAACAACCTCCCTCCCCTTGGTCCTTGGTGACCTTCTGTGCTTTGCTTCTGGATTTTCCTACCTGAGCTGGGTTTGTGCCCAGCACTGCCCCAGGATGCAGCTCCTAAACCAGGACACAAACAAACCAAGACTTTCCAAATGTCCCCAAAAGTGCACCCACAAGCTCCAGATGCTGGTTGGAGGGACCAGAGCTTTTCACAGGCTCTGGGTGTAGATGCAACAGGGAGTAAGTCCATCCATGGCAGAGGAGGAGGTGTTTACACATGGCAGTGGATTTTCGGGTTTGATCTCTCTGCTCTCAGCAAGTGCTTGGTGGAAGCAAAGCCTGTCCTTGGCTGGTTCTTGGCTGAGTTTGTGTCAGCAGCATCACAGTTGTGATTTCTGGGTGCATTTGAATGAAAAGGATTCAACTGGACCCAAAATGTCGCCCGGCCCCAGGCCTGGAGGAGACTGCAAAGCCGTGGGGTGGGAGGGAGCTGTGCTAGCTGACGTTGAAGGTGACAGAGGAGCCATCTGCTCTGTGCTGCTGCCCCTCCAGCCCTGCCTCCCCCCAGGGCTGCACGGGGACCCTGCAGCGCGCGGCCGAGCGCCCGGGCAGGGCTTCGCTCAGCTGGGTCACCTCGCTGAGCTCTGCCTCCAGCGTGCTGAGCGTGTGGGCAGCCTGGGCCACGTGCACCCTGTGCGCTGCCTTCTTGTGCAGGAGGCAGCTGAAGATCTTCTTGAAGCCCTTGCGGAAGTGCTTGGAGACCAGGGCGTAGACGATGGGGTTGACGCAGGAGTTGGCGTAGGAGATGACGTGCGAGAGGATGCGCAGCACGTACGTGGAGTGGTTCAGGGGGAAGTACCCGAACCACACGCACAGGATGACCAGGTGGTGGGGCAGCCAGCAGAGGCAGAACAGCACGGCCACAATGATGATCATCCTGGTGACCTTCCTCTTGGCCTTCTTGGACTCCGACATGTCTTGGAGAGGGTCCACGGACCGCCACAGGTAGCGAATAGTCCGCACGTAAGTGAGGCTGAGGATGAGCACGGGGATGATGTAGCTGAAGATGAAGGTGCAGGTGTCCATGATCTTGCGCTGGGAGATCTCCCAGATGGGGTGGCAGACAGTCAGGTTGGCCAGCTGGAACTCCTGGTAGTAGCTGAGGTAAGGGCCCGAGAAGATAAAGGAGAGCCCCCAGATGAGACAGATGGCCAGGAGGGCGTTCCTGGGCGTCCTCAGCTCCCTGGAGTGCAGGGGGTATCGTATGGCCAAGTACCTGCATGGCAAAGGGAGAGGGACACGGCTGCAGCCCTGGGGAGGGCACAGAGAGAGCACTGCCAGGAGCAGTTTGGAGAGAGGGCAGAAATGATGGATTTGGGATTTCCAGGGCAGTTAGTCACACAACTGATTCCCTGGTGCTTCTTAGGGACCCACAAGGGACTGAGGAAAATTCTCTCCCTGACCCTGTCCCATCACCCAGTGGTTGTGGGGCCAATGGGGATGGTCCCATTCTGTCCCTCCCCTAATCCAGGAGACCCTCACTTCACCATCAGTGTCTGGCACAAGTGATTGGGGCAGTGAGGATACAAAGGCAGGAGCAAGTGCCCAGGAATCCCAGACACAGCATTCTTTGTACTGGCACACGTGAGAGCACATTACCCCTTTTCAGTTCTCTAATTAGCTGGTCCCTTAATTGCACCCACATCTGAGGCTTGTGCAAGCCCTCCTTGCTCAACACATCTGTTCCCTCTGCTCCATGGGATACAGGGGGAGAGGCAGCCCCTGGGGGTGCTGTCAGCAGGCAGTGCAGGGCTGTGCTGGGATGGCAGGACACATCCAGCTGGGCTCCAGGGCCTCCCAGGGAACTGGCACATGGACTTTCCACATCCCACCTGGCAGGGTTTGGGCACTGAGTGGAGCAGCACCAGGAGCTCCCAGCCTCTCGCTGCAGGGTCATAACTCACTGGCCCTTGCAGAGGCAGGGACTGAGGTAAAGCACAGGCAGGAGCTCCCAGATTATCCCAGCCTGTTCCAGGCTTCCCAGTAAAACCCACCCTGGAACAGGCTGGGATAACCACTGGGACAAGGGACAGCACGGGGACAGAAAAGGGCTTTTTGCTAATAGAAGGGGAGGGTGGGAAAATCAGTGTCTCAGCTCAAACATCCCAGTGCTTTTTTCTCCTCAAGGTCTGCCTGCTTTGCCAGGGGCTGTTGGGAGGGAAGGGGCTCTCTGTGCATCCCAGGAAGAGCCAGAGCTCCACACGGACTGACCTTTGTTTGTTTCTCATTTTTTCATCCCCACTTCACTGCTGGGGCCTGTGGATAACTCCCAGTCCTAGATTTTTGGGGTCTGAAAGCTTCCTCCAGCTGGGCACTGGGGCCAGGGATCCCCATATGCAGCCCCTCATACTGCGGGAGGCTGCATCAACGGGGAAATGCTCCTGGATTCCCCCAGGAGCCCGGGAGATCACAGCAGTCAGGATTTAGCTCCAGGGGAATCTGTCCCCTCCCTGCCTGGTGGGATCCAGAGAAAGGAGAGCCTCAGGATGCAGCCAGCCCCTCCCCCTGTTCCCTCTCCTACCTGTCCAGGGACACGGTGGCCAGGGTGAAGCTGCTGGCGTACATGGTGAGGTAGATGAAGAAGTGCACGGCCTTGCACATGAAGGGCCCGAACACCCATCCCTCCAGGGTGTAGATGGTGGCTTGGAAGGGGACGCAGAAGAGGATGAAGCAGAGGTCGGCCACCCCCAGGTTGAGGATGAAGAGGTTGGTGGTGTTCTTCACCTGCCCGTTGCGCAGCAGCACGGCCAGGACCAGGCTGTTGCCCACGGTGCCCACGAGGAAGATGATGAAGTACACGAGTGGGATGATCACAGACTCGGGCTGCCAGCCACCCCCGGAGCCCGCCAGAGAGCCGTTCATGGCCGGGAGTGCCCGGCCAGGGGCTGGAGGGGGCAGCGTGCGTGGAGAAAGCACCGGGGGGCACACGGGGTGAGGGGGTGCACAGGGAGATCCGTGTGGGGGGCACGGAGAGCACGCTGGGGAGCACAGAAGGGAGGGAAAGGGAAAGGGGGTGCAGGGAAAGGTCAATGAGGAGCACCCAGGGATGCACAGGGAAGGGGTGGGTAGGAAACGTGCAGTGGGGAGTGCAGCGGGGAGGCAAAGGAAAAGGGGGTGCACGGAGAGGTCAGCGGGGATTGCACGGGAAAGGGGGTGCAAGGAGACTGCAGCAGGGATTGCACGGGAAAGGGGGTGCAGAGAGAGCCCGCTGGGGAGCACAGCAGGGATGCACTGCAGGGAAGGGGGAGAACGGTGGAAGGGGAGCGCGGGGAGCGCACGGGAGCCGCACGGGGAAGGGGGTGCATGGGGAGCGAGCGGGGGTCCCGCCGGGGCGCACGGGGAGCCGGCGGGGGCTGCGGGGGAGCCGCGGGGGAGCCGCGGGCCCTTCACCTCCTCCGGGTGTGCGGGAGCTCGGGGCGGCTCCGGCGGGGCGGCTCCGGCGCTCTCCGTGCGCCGGCGGAGCGGGGGGGCCCGGGGGCTCCGGGCGCGGCTCCCGCCCGGCCCCGCGCATCGCACCCCGGGAACGGATCCGCAGCCCGGGAACGGATCCGCATCCCCCGCTACCCTCGTGGGCTCAGGGGCTCGGGCCGGGCCGGGCTTGCCCGGGGATGGGGGGGAGATGTCACTCGGGGCTGTTACCCCTCCGGAGGGGCTGGGGCAGCCGGGCTGGGCGCCCCAAAGGGAGCTGGGCACCCTAAAAGTAGCTGGGCACCCCAAAGGGAGATGGGCACCCAAAGTGAGGCGTCTGCGGGGTTTTCTTATCGCCTGCCCCTTCAGTAGCCACTGAAAAAGGGTTTGTTTGTTCACCTCCAGGAGCTGCAGGGCTGATTTTTAGGAATGGGGATCCTCTGCCCGCGGATGTGTCCGCATTGTCCAGCGGCAGGGAAATCCTCGCACCAAAACACGCGAGGTGAGGTTTTCAGAGAAACTGCATTTCTCCCCACGGCTGGGAGGGCAGTGTGATACATTGCAAATCTTTTTCGTGCCATGTCTTCCTGCAAAATTGCCTTTTTGGTCCTGCACGGGTGGAAGCCTTGGGAGCAGCCGCTGCAATCAGCTCTCCAAGGACTCTTCCCTCTGACCCCACCCCAGCCTGCCTTCTTTTGCTTCTGTGGAGAGGGAAATATTTAATGCGTCGATTACTTCTGTAAGTAACTCACTCCGCAGCTTCTCTGCTCTCTCAGTGGGCGTTCAGCGCCGAGCCTGCCGTGCTGGGGCTCTGGGGACACTCCCAGCCCTGGGACACGGCCACCAGAGCACACGGAGCCCTCTCCACCCTCGGCTGCCCAGCCCCACAAAACCTGCGCCTAACTTGGAGATAACCAGACCCCTTTGGGGTGAGGATGCTCCGTGGTCCTGACGACATCCCACAGGGAAAAACAGGCAATGAAGACCAGCACAGCAGAACTTCGGGCACCCCACAGGGGTCAAGGAGCTGCTGAGACACAGAGCTCAGCTCTGCCTTCCTCTGCATGTCCCCAGGGAGCCACTCCTGTGCCACATCCCCAGCCACGACCATGGGGATTGCTGGAATCTCGTGGGAAAGCCTGGCCCCAGGGAGGTTTCACCCTGTGGGACCTGCCCTGTGTCCTCAGACACCACAGGGTATTGGGATGATGGTAGTGGTGGTGTCTTTGGTCAGCCTGCAGACAGGCTGGGCCCATCCTTAGGCTGCAGAGTGACATTATTAAAAAAAAAAAAAAAAAAAGAGGGAAAACACTCAGTTTCTTCCCAATAGCAGTAAAACCTGGGAGTAGCAGGATAGAAATAAATAGCAGCAAAATGTATTCTTGTCCTGAGACCTAGATGGGTTATTTGGGCAGGGGTGCAGGAGGATGATCCACATCCCCAAAAGCAAGATCCTCTGGCCAAAACCAATAGGAAAAGGCCAAAACCATTAAGAAAAGGCCAAAACCAATAGGAAAAGGCACGCTGTGGGGCTGGCAGGCCTGGCAGGCTGCAGGGCTGGCTGGCAGAGGGATGTGAGTGCCTGCAAATCTGTGGATTTATTCTCTGCAGCAGTCCCTGTGACACCAAAGGCAGCTCAGCCTCGCTGCAAGGCTCCCCTCAGGGCTCTGCAGGTTTGTGACCCCCCTGCCCCTGCTCTGGAGGAGGGCAGAGCCAGCTGTGCAGGAGGAATTCACACACCCAGGAGGTGGCTGATGGTTTTATCCTCCCTTTTCCAGGTTCCAGAGGAATCCAGAGGAGCAGCAAAGCTTCCTGCCAGTGTGCAAGAAAGGTGGTGTGGCAGAAATGTGCCTGTGCCACACCTGGTGGCTGTCCTGACACTGGAATAGGTCCTTTGGGTGCTTTTTTGGGCACCTGAGGGTGGGTGCTGCTGTGCCAGCCTGAGCCAAGCCTGTGTGAACTGCCACAGCTGCAAGAGAGGAGCTGTTGTTTGTAAAATAGGCTTTAATTGTTGTGCCTGCTTAGTTCAGCACCATCCTGGAGCACAGTTGGGTTCAGATAGGGAATGAAATGAATCCCTGGGAGATGCATTTGGAGCCTGGAGCAGAGAGTTTAGAACATGTGCACAGAAAGCTGCCACTTGAGGACATGGTTGATTTTTCTTTCTTTCTTTTTTCCCTTTGAGCTTTGCTGTCTAGGAGAGGAAAGGAGAGGTTTGAAATCGTGAATAACAGGTCACAGCTGAGCCCTTGGAAGGGGAGAGGAGCCAAATTGCTTCTGGGAGTGTGACAGCAAAGTGCAGCCAGGCAGGCAGAGCCCAGGGCTGGCAAAGATGGGTCTGGGGGCACGAGCAGCTCTTGGAGCAGTTTGTATTTATAAGGGTTTATGTAAATATCACCATTAGGTGCTCAAATAAATTTGGTGTTTGTCCCAAATGAGGTATTCAGCCCCACGTGCAAAGGACCTGGTCTTTAGTGCTTACAGCATGAAGTAGCTCCGGGGTGAGGTGAGGTGAGATAAGGGCGGTCTCTCCTTTCCCAGCTGCACTGCCCGAGGGGTTAAGGCTGCTGGGGGTGGGAGGATTTGATTTTAGTGCTCTGCCCGGGGGAATTTAAAGCCCCTCTCCTCTAGGGCTGCCCAGAGCAGCAGGCTCGCAGTGTCCCGGGAAGGGGCAGAGGGATGGAGGGAGAGGCTCCCCCGGGACTGCCGCAGCAACAGCATGGCCAGGAGTGGGGTCACCCTGGGGGCTGATTTTGGGGTCATTTCTGGCGTCAGTTCTGGGGTGGGTGAGCGGGGCAGGGTTGCTTGGGCTGATTTTGGGGTCAGCATTGGGGTGGCTGGGGCAGAGCACTGTGACGGAAGGGGGGCTCAGTCCGGGATGGAGGAGCGGGATACGGGCAGGAGGGGCCGGGCGGGGACGTACCCGCAGCCTGCGTGGGGCCCGGCCCCAGGAGGCCGCCGGGACCCCCCGATCCCAATCCCGTTCCCGACCCCTGTCCCAGGCTCCCCCCGTTCCCTATCCCGTATCCCCCGATCCCAATCCTGATCCCCCTGTTCCCGTTCCCTGTCCTGGGTTCCCCCAATCCCGTTCCCTGTCCTGGGTTCCCCCAGTCCCGATCCCGTTCCCTATCCCGGTTTCCCCGTTCCCCCCGTTCCCTATCCCCGTTCCTCCCGTTCCCTGTCCCGAGTTTCCCCCGTTCCCTGTCCCGGTTCCCCCGATCCCGTTCCCTGTCCTGGTTCTCCCTATCTCGATCCCGTTCCCTGTCCTGGGCTCCCCCCCCCGTTCCCGTTCCCTGTCCCAGTTCCCCCCATCCCGTTCCCATTCCCCGTCCCAGCTCCCCCCGGGTCCTCCCCGTTCCCGGCGGCCCGCGCGCGGCCGTTCCCGGCCCGTGATGCTCTGCGGCCGCGGCCCCGGTGCAAGATGGCGGCGGAGCGTCAGGGAGGCGGCGGTGGCCGCGGGGCCGGTGCGGAGGAGAACAAGGAGCACAAGGACGGCAAGGACAACAAGGAGAACGAGCGGCCGGCGGGGCCGCAGCCCGGCGGCCTCGGCGATAGCCTGGGCCTGGAGAGCATCCTGCGCGGCGGCGGCGGGGGGACGTGGCAGGCCCGGCCCCGTGGGCGGCGGGGGGACGTGGCGGCAGCGCGGGGCTCGCAGGGCCGGGGCGGGCAGGGACGGCGGGGACAGGGACAGGGGCACCCCGCAGCTGCGGGCGGTGCTGGCCTGGGCCTGTGAGGGTTTGGTTTGGATAAAAGGCCATCTGGCTTTCCTGATTTATGGAATCGCGCTCTCCCTGGGCTGCGTCTCCTTCCGAACCCCGGGACAGCTGGCGTCAGTCTCCACAGCGGGGCTGTGTGCGAGCAGGGCACCCGTGAGCTGCTCCTGGCCATATTGCGGCTTGAAGTGAGCAATAATACATAAAAAAGCCTTAGCAGGGCACCCGTGAGCTGCTCGTGGTGATACTGCAGCTTGAAGTGAGCAATAATACATTAAAAAATCTTAACAAGTGTGCTGAAGTGGCAGACTGGCTCGTTCAGATTTAGTGCTTCTGAAATCTCGGCGTGTAAAACTCGTGGAGGTTTTGTAGGTGAAACTTCCACGTGAAACCAGTCCAGCTGCACAGCTGTGATAGAGCTGAGTTTTATCTTCTGGGTCAGAGGGAAGCCCGGGGGAAATCAGGTTGCAGTTTTCCACGTGGCATATGGCAGGTGTTGTGTAGTCAGTAAGTGTGGAGTAAGGTGCAGACACAGCAATTGCCCTGGGAGTGTTGGGAATGCCTAAGTCAGTGAAAAAATAAAAAAAAAGTTCAGAGGGCATGAATTCAGCAAGTAACTGTGCAGGATAAAAGAGAGTTTGGAAAAAATCTTGGGTAGACAGTAGGGATGAGGAGGGCTGTGTTGAGACATTGCAGTTGGACTTGGTTGTTCTGCAAATGTAGAATAATTCAGTGTAATAACTATTG